CTCACCCCCTGACAACAGTTTGGTACCCGCACCTCCTCTAACTCCAAACCGAATCTCTGCATTTATTCACCAACCATTGCCCCAGACAGCATCTCCACTTTCCTCCAGCCTTTCCCTCGCTGAACATTCTCACCACGCTTCACCCCATATTTAAAAGGGGTTGGGGAAAAACTAACCCCAATTCCCCTCGCCCAGGGCAAAGTTGCCCACAGTCCTTAGTCCCTCCACCCTTTTTCCCACTCATTTAGATCACTCATCTTTCAATAGCCATCCGCGACACGCCACCCAAAACGGGAAAGTCACCCCTCCATACTCCACCTTCCTAATTCTGATATTCAATCTTTTATCCCTAAACTTTGTATCCTCAAACTTAACCCTTTCCGATCACCTTTATTTCTTCTTTGCACAAACCCTACCAAATCATCCACCAATCTCGAACTCCTTCGAAACCCCAAGCACAGTGTCTAGCAAAGAGCGCTGTGACAACCCCTTTTGGTGGATTCTTTCTTTTAACCCCCCCTCTTGCCAAGACCCTCGCATTACTTTTCTTACAACCCCATCTATAAATAATAAAACATCCGGGGAACATCACACACCTTGGCAGGCCTACTTTACTGGGAAAAATTCCCCCTTTCACATACTCTAATTGAGCCCACATCCCGTAAAAATTCACTGCTTCAGTAACCACCACACATACACTTGCCCAAAATTCCACATTGCCCCCCATCCACCGGGAAGCCTTTCCAAACCAAAGCCACAAAGACCTCTTTAGGCCTTATTAAATACTGGTCATTATAGACTGTAACACGGTTCACACCCGGGAAATACCTTTTCCAAAGCCCTGTTCATCGCACCATCTCGCGGTACCTTTTTTTTTTAACTCTACCATCATTAAGGATCCTTCAACAGTACTCCCCCTGATATTTTGCACTCTCGGTTTCCCTTGCCTTATCAAAGGATAGGAGCCCGCCAAACCCTATGTCCTACCCTCCTGATTATTATAATTGCACCAACCACTCAAAAATTTCCACCTCTGTTATGTACAGGCATATTCATTACCACTGGATCCCCGTGCCCCTTAACCACGCTAACTTCCCCACACTCACAATGGCCCCTCACTCCTACAAGATGTTTCCTCCGCCCATACACGAAATCAGCTCCTATCCATACAATGGAACAATTCCTAAATATCTTCTCCCCAATACCGTATTGTCCATGAATAACGCCTCTCCATTAACTGACAATCCTTTGCTCTTGTTTCTTAACTTAAACTCTCCAAAATGTGTGGTAACATTTCCAATGTTGATCTACTGTAACTCGTCAGCTAGGGCTCTTAAATTTCTCCCATCTCTTAAATTTTTCCAAACCCCAGGAATTCATGGGAAAAATCTCATATGAATTTCCCCTACTACTCGCTTTACATCATCAAACACCAAAGCCTTCCCGCACCCACTTTCCTGTAACACAAATCTGCTGAAAAGACAACATGAAACAAAACCCCCAAAAACAGCTTAGACGACCCCATTAGCCTAGCTTCATTAGCACCATACCAAGCTGTTTAAGACTACCAACTGCCTCTTTTAGTTATAAACCTTTACCCTTTTGGATGCTTATTCTCCTGTATCCATCGACCTTTTACTCTCAGTGTAGCGAAACTAGAAGTGAACTGAGATATCTGGCCCAAAAAATGAAGTCACTGAAGTAGACAACAGTCTTTTATCGACCAGTAATATCAACAAACTACGGTCATATTGCGCCCTACATCATAGAGGTAAACTATTTATCCTAGTTTAGAAAATGTAAGGAGAAACCCGTAGACAAAGTAAAAGGGCTCCCATGACCTTTACACCGGCACCCCAAAACTACCTACCACAACCCCTAAAAGTTTCTCTACTATTAGCATTCAAGTCCCTAACCCAATTACTCTCTCATTGGTCAAGGCCCTATACATTCACTTAAACTCCCAAAATCTCCCCCTGAGTTCCTCTTTCATCCGTGCATACACGCTTAGTAGACCCACTTCTCGCATCCAACCTTTACTTTAATCCACAAATCTGGAATTTACACAATTCAATTCTATTTTTTCCATTATGTTTTAACATTTGCTACCCTTCCTTGCTGCTAACTCTTCAGATACTCAGATTTAATCCATTTATTTCACCCACTGAAACTCTCCTACCCTCAAGCTTTGTTCGCTTGGGCCAGGACCCAACTTCTTTTCATCTAACACAGCAATCATTGTTTCTTCACTCCCCACTACATCCAGTACATTTAAGAACCCTTTTTTAAGAATTTTTCTTCTTTTTTAGTAATTGTTACAGGGGTATACCCCTTTTACTGCCATTTCCTCCCATTTTAATCGCCTCATTACGACAGCATGTGCTTAGGAATGTCTTTCACTTCCCCATGAATAGAAGAAATAAAAATAAACAAAGCTATTTTAGAAAAGGAGAAAAACCTAGTGTATGTATATATTATATGCATTGGGGTGTCATAAAGTGTCCCCCCCCCCCCAAGTGTAAGTGGGGTTTAGCAAGATACCCCTGATTTAGCGTGTTTATGAGACAGAAAAAAAAACCGAAACCTCCATCATGAAAAACTTTTACAGGTTTTTTTTTCACGTATCTGGAGGACGGTAGTATTTCCCTGGGGGTTGCTGTTACCAACCTATACCTAACTCCCCTTAATCTATCTTTTTTTCCATTTTAATAAATATGCTCTACTTTTAACCCTTTTCCTATTCCCACTATTTTTAACCCCATTCTTACCCAAACACCTCTCCTCACTTAACATGGGCCCCGTTCCTAAGACCTTGTGGGTAAATGAATTTTTGCTAAGCAAGGAGCATCTATGATGGAGGGGGTTTTGTATAAACCCCTCTTTGATATTTTTTAATGTTACCTTTGCCCATTTGTAACTTTTTTTAATTTTTAAAGTTTATAAAGTATGTACTGTTATTGTAATAAAAAAAATAGGGGAAATCAGCTCTCATTTGCCTTACCTCACCTAGGTATTTGTGCATGGGGTAAACCCACAGAAAAATCCCTTAAGCCTTTAAAAAACCCAACAAAAGCTGCAGTTGTTGTTTACTAACCCCGCATTAGACAACCACTCCCCTCTTTAAAGACTTAATTGCTTAATATATAAAACATTACACTTATTTTGTGCTACTACAACAAAAACCCACTTTACTCAAATGTAAACCCTCCTCTCAAACTCTCCCTGAAACTATAACAAAAAACAAACCATAATACAAAAACAAAAATCATCTAAAATTTCCTTTGCATCCTCCCTATGCAAAAACTATGCATGTAAGGGGCCCGAAGAGGGAAATTTCATTACCGAACCAAAAAGGGACCCTGTCGGGTAAATCATTTTAAGGCCCTCAAAGAAATCACCTCACCCCCCAAAATTAATTAGAAAACCATCCTAATACCTACCATATCTCACTGTAAGTTTAATGAGTAGTTTTATCCCCCGGAACCCTTTTCATGGACGAGTCTCTATCCCGTTCAAAGGTTAAAAAGGGTTTTAAGCAGTAATACCAAAAAAGGAAACACTGTGGTATCAAGCTGTTTATTTTGTGTAACTGTGAATGTGGCCTGGTATTGGATTTGACTGTGTACATAGGAAGCAAAACACTGAAAGATACCAGGAAGTTATTGGGAGTCTCCAGTGATATAATGAAAAAAAAAATGATAAAACCATATCTTTGTGAGGGCCATATATTATACACTGATAAATGGTAAACATACAAAACCCTTACTCAGTGATTTCCTTTGGGTGAACATGACGGACATATGTTACAGTGCATGGAATGTGAAAACATATGCATAAGTTCAATGCAGGTACTAGTACTAGTAAGGTAAAGGTATTTCATGCTAATGAAATACCTGTACCTTAATGAAATACCTGTTCCTTTAAGAGACCCATACTACATATAATTGATACTCCAGTTCATTACACGTACTGGCCAACACTTCTGGTGTAACTTTTCCAATGCCATGATTTATTATATCATGGAGTGTTTTAATGTTGGCTACTAGTATCTGGAAAACATAATCCATTACAAACCCTCGCAAGAAGAAAGCTAGACATAATATCAGATGAACATGGCACTTTCTGATGAGGTCATTATTCTCAATCTATCTGCCAAGGAACTTGATGTTAAAATAATTCTGTTAGCCTATGCATAAAACTGTAATTTCATATCTTTTACCATATTGTGGTCATAATGTTTTGAAACTAAAAACAAATAAACAAAAAAAAAAAAAAAAAAGAACACCCTGTACAACTATTGCAGTGTATATCCAATGCTAAGTAAACAAAATGTAAGTTTTTTGATGTACCCAAAAATGCAATGCTTTTTATTTGTTTCAGTGCTAAAATATCTTTAATTTCCATGGTCTTTCTTGGAATATGTGTATGTGTATATTAGTTACTGTTTTTAATAGATGTGCTGTTGGAGTGTAAGCAAGGTAATATATATTAAGGGATTCAGAGAAAGCAGTTAGCCAGACTCGAGTCCTGGAAATAATGGTGATATTACAATTGGGGAAGGGGGGGGGATCTGAGTTGTAATGTCAGCACACTCCTGGCAAGACAGCAATTTTACAAATGATGGTGAATGTGTTTTTTTCTTAGAGTAACCTGCTTTGCAGTAAATAGACACTTAAAAAGTGAAAATAAAATTTTCAACCCCATATGAAAATCAAGGTGTATTAACCTGTAAACGGTCCAAGCGTATATATACGTTTTTTCAACATTTGAAAGTATGTAAAAAAAGTAGATCTTTTTTTTTTTTACATTTGAAAATGTGTAAAAATACTTTGATCTACTTTTTTTTTTGTTATATTTGAAAATATGTAAAAAACATAGATCTACTTTTGGAGCACTACACATGTGAACATAGATCTGCCTGGACCGTTTACGGGTTAAAAGTACACAGAGCGTTAAATAAAATAAATAGATTACTAAAAGAAAATAATGGTTATTCTTACCTAGTAATGTCTCCAATAGAAACTGGCTTGCCTGCTTGTAGTGCAGCACTTAAAGCATGAGCACCTTCTGTCTCCATAGCTATCACTGGGATATCTGCAACACCTGATGTTACAAATTAAAGCTGTAATACAAGAATCATTAACAAAAAATTACTGGGCACTATGAGAATGTATAGCGACACTTTTCAAAAGTTTGTCGCACATCAGGTTGCTACTCTTAATAAGGGATTTTAAGTGCAATTCTCAGTAGTAGTAACCAGTTACCAGTAACCAGTGTACCAGTTGACTCACTCACTACCAACCGTCTCTGCCTGAGTCACTGTCTATTCATATTGTGCTGACCTGGCACTATTCAAAGACCCCCTCACATATGGGTACTGTGGGCGGCCAGTCGGTCAGTTGTACGAGAGAGAGCAGAGAGACTAGGTTACGGCTGTAAGGGCGCTACTCACCTTGTCTGTAATTATACGTACTACCAGCCTACGTGAGTATTACTTTACCCAATCCACGTGTCGAACTCCCACATGATACAATAAATAACCTTTCTACTTGTCTATTATAAATATTTATTTAAATTTTTTCACAGTTCCTGTGCCAAATACAGTAGTATGTGTATATATATGCAATTTTAAAAATTCTCTGCATACTAACAAGTTTTTTAGAGGATGGGCTCCATGACCCATTATATGAATATCTACCTATCAGTTTAACCTCTATAACACCAGTCATGGACTCTTAACCCTATGACTGTTTTGGTCGTATATATACGTCTCACGCGCCACTGTTTCAGACGTATTAATACGAGTAAATTCTAGCAGCTTCAAATCAAGCAGGAGAAAGCTGGTAGGCCCACATGTGATAGAATGGGTCTGTGTGGTCAGTGTGCACCATATTAAAAACTCCTGTAGCATGCAGTGCATAATGAGGGAAAAAAAAACCTCTGACCATTTTTTTTGGATTAAAATGCCGACTTTGAGGTGTATTTTCGTATAGTATTTATTGCTGTATTCTCGTTTTTATGGTCTCATGTGATAAAATGGAAAACATATTACAGAAATAGAGATGATTTTGATTAGTTTCACAATGAAAACGACCTTAAAATTGAGCTCAAAGTAGCGGAAATGTTCGATTTTTACCAATGTTCAAGAGTAAGCAAATCACACCACATGTCCAATACACGTCAACTGGGGAGTCTAATATTCTTTCACTAGTGCACTGATATTATTTACACCATTTTTACAATAATGCTGTAGTCGGCATAACAGTAAATTTTGTATTTTTTGTATGAATAAAAAATCAAAATAGAAAGCAATAGTAATATATGAGGGGGATAGAGACATGACTAATGAACAGAGGATATGTTATTTTAGTGCCAAGAATGTCTACAGTGTTTATTCTGGACCCTATTTTGAAATTGGCATCTTTTTTAATTTGCGTGAAATTGGCCAAATTGCCAATATCTGACCGCTTTATTGGGTAGTTCAAATCGGTAAATGGGCGGTTTCTTGTACTCAACTGATAGAAAAAATGGAGTTCTAAAGAAACAGCTATGAGTTTGGTCAAATGGAACAACCAAATTGGCCAAAAACAGGGCTCAAAGTTGGCAAAATCTCCGATGCGTATATGTCGCCGAGACCGCTAACTTCGCGGGAGCGTAATTCCGTGAGTTTTCGACCAAATTTCGTACTTTTGGTGTCATTACCATTGGGAAAAGATTCTCTATCATTTCATAAGAAAAAAAAAATTTCCAAAAATTTTGCGACATAGAATGAGTTTCAGAAAGGGGCTTGTCTGGTATGATTGTTTGTCTACCTCTACTGTGTGCTAGCACACAGGAGAGGTAGACATTGATCAGGCTTCTGAAACCATTCTGTTACTTGTTTCTGGTCGAGTAAGATCTACCTTTGACAGGTTTCAAGAGTCTTCTATTCCCACAACCAGGCTTAGAGTCAGAATTTTCTGGAACTTGCCTGGTCAACCAGGCTGTTGATGTTGGCAGCTCTTGCAGTCAACATAGCCATCATAACCTAGGTGGTCTGGCACTTGTGGAGGCAGTGATCCAGCTTGCTCTCAAGGCTTCTACACATGTTCCTTCAGTATTCCTGATAACTTCTGGCAGTATGAACAGTCTATGCCTACAAATGCTGATATGCCAGTCTGTGGATTTTAAAATTTCTCCCACTTCCTGGAGGACAGTGATCTACATTATCACTGCCTTGCACATACACTGTGTTCTCATAAACTGCTGTGTTAAGTGTGCTGAGCTGAAGTTATAGTAGATCGGAGTAAGCTCTTCCACTCCCACAGTGCTTTTGGTGTTGAATAATAATCTTTATTTCTACAAGTACATGAGACAACTTATACATACCAAGGTGACATCAATGACATACTATATAGAAAGACCCTGGTTATGCAGAGCATTTCAGGCAACTTAGGTTAATCTTGTCCCCCAGGATATGACCAGGATGTACATGTTTATAGAGGGGCAACTGATATATCGATCATTATTTAGTTGTAGCTACAGTTGGAGTACGAGATAGATGGGACAAGAGGAAGGTGGCAACAACAAGTAAGAGACTGGTGAAAGTGTATAAACTAAGGGAGGAGGAAGTTCGGGTGAGATATAAGCAACTATTGGCAGAAAGGTGGGCTAGTGCAAGTATGAGTAATAGGGGGTTGAAGAGGGTTGAAATAGTTTTAAAAATGCAATATTAGAATGTGGGGCAGAAGTTTGTGGTTATAGGAGGGTGGGTGCAGGAGGAAAGAGGAGTGATTGGTGGAGTGATGAAGTAAAGGGTGTGATAAAAGAGAAAAAGGTAGCTTATGAGAGGTTTTTACAAAGCATAAGTGTTATAAAAAGAGCAGAGTACATGGAAAGTAAAAGAAAAGTGAAGAGAGTGCAAAAGGAGAGCAGATGATAGAGTGGGAGAGGCACTGTCAAGAAATTTTAATGAAAATAAGAAAATTTTTTGGAGTGAGTTAAAAAGTTAAGATAGCCTAGGGAACGAATGGATTAGTCAGTTAAAAACAGAGTAGGGGAGCTAGTAGATGGGGAGATGGCAGGAATACTTTGAGGAACTTTTCAATGTCAACGAAGAAAGGGAGGCAGTAATTTCATACATTGGCCAGGGAGGAATACAATCTTTTAGGTGTGAAGAAGAGCAGGATGTGAGTGTGGGGGAGGAGCGTAAGGCATTACGTAGAATGAAAGAGGGTAAAGCAGCTGAAACTGACAGGATCATGACAGAAATGTTAAAAGCAGGGGGGATATAGTGTTAGAGTTGTTGGTATTTTTGTTTAATAAATGTATGAAAGGTGGGAAGGTACCTAGGGATTGGCAGAGAGCATGTATAGTTCCTTTATATAAAGGGAAGGGGGACAAAAGGGATTGTAAAAATCATAAAGGAATTAGTTTACTGAGTATACCACCCAGGGAAGTACTACCGTCCTGCCAAGTGAATGTAAAATGAAAGCCAGTAATTGTTTTACGTGATGGTAGGATTGCTGGTGTCTTTTGTCTGTATAAACTAAGGGATGATAAATTAGACACATGTGCAGCTCATGGGTATCTTTACTGAGGAAACGTTTCCTCAATAAAGATACCCATGAGCTGCACATGTGTCTAATTTATCAACATGTCGGTTCTCTGAACCATTCATCTATAAACTAAGGGAGGAGGAAGTTCAAGTGAGATATAAGCAACTATTGGCAGAAAGGTGGGCTGGTGCAAGTATGAGTAGTGGGGGGGTTCAAGAGGGTTGGAATAGTTTTAAAAATGCAGTAGTAGAGTGTGGGGCAGGAAGTTTGTGGTTATAGGATGGTGGGTCCAGGAGGAAAGAGGAGTGATTGGTGGAATGATGAAGTAAAGGATGTGATAAAAGAGAAAAAGATAGCTTATGAGAGGTTTTTACAAAGCAGAAGTGCAATAAGAAGAGTAGAGTATATGGAGAGTAAAAGAAAGGTGAAGAGAGTGGTGAGAGTGCAAAAGGAGAACAGATGATAGAGTGGGAGAGAAAGTGTCAAGAAATTTTAATGAAAATAAGAAAAATTATTGGAGTTAAACAAGTTAAGAAAGCCTTGGGAACAAATGGATTTGTCAGTTAAAAACAGAGTAGGAGAGTTAGTAGATGGGGAGATGGAGGTATCAGGTAGATGGCGAGAATACTTTGAGGAACTTCTGAATGTCGACGAAGAAAGGGAGGCGGTAATTTCATGCACTGGCCAGGGAGGTATACAATCTTTTAGGAGTGAAGAAGAGCAGGACGTAAGTGTGGGGGAAGTGCATGAGGCATTATGTAGAATGAAAGGGGGTAAAGCAGTTGGAACTGACGAGATCATGACAGAAAGGTTAAAAGCAGGGGGGAATTTAGTGTTGGAGTGGTTGGTATTTTTGTTTAATAAATGTATGAAAGAGGGGAAGGTACGTAAGGATTGGCGGAGAGCATGTATAGTCCCTTTATATAAAGGGAAGGGGGACAAAAGAGATTGTAAAAATTATAGAGGAATTAGTTTACTGAGTATACCACAAAAAGTGTACGGTACGGTTATTATTTAAAGAATTAGAACTAAGACAGAAAGTAGGATTGCAGATGAGCAAGGAGGTTTTAGAGTGGGTAGAGGATGTGTAGATCAGGTATTTACATTGAAGCATATACGTGAACAGTATTTAGATAATGGTAGGGAAGTTTTTATTGCATTTATGGATTTAGAAAAGGCACATGATAGAGTGGATAGGGGAGAAATGTGGCAGATATTGCAAGTATGTATATGGAATAGGTAGTAAGTTACTAAATGCTGTAAAGAGTTTTTATGAGGACAGTGAGGTTCAGTTTAGGGTGTGTAGAAGAGAGGGAGACTACTTCCCAGTAAAAGTAGGTCTTAGACAGGGATGTGTAATGTCACCACAGTTGTTTAATATATTTATAGATGGGGTTGAAAAAGAAGTAAATGCTAGGGTGTTCGGGAGAGGGGTGTGATTAAATTATGGAGAATCCAATACAAAATAGGAATTGACACAGTTACTTTTTGCTGATAATACTGTGCTTATGAGTGATTCTAAAGAAAAATTGCAAAGGTTAGTGGACGAATTTGGGAGTGTGTGTAAAGGTAGAAAGTTGAAAGTGAACATAGAAAAGAGTAAGGTGATGAGGGTATCAAATGATTTAGATAAAGAAAAACTGGATATCAAATTGGGGAGGAGGAGTATGGAAGAAATGAATGTTTTCAGATATTTGGGAGTCGACGCATCTGCGGATGAATTTATGAAGGATGAGGTTAATCATAGAATTGATGAGGGAAAAAAGGTGAGTGGTGCATTGAGGTATATGTGGAGACAAAGAACGTTATCTATGGAGGCAAAGAAGGGAATGTATGAAAGTATAGTGGTACCAACACTCTTATATGGGCGTGAAGCTTGGGTTGTAAATGCTGCAGCGAGGAGGCAGTTTGAGGCAATGGAGATGTCCTGTCTAAGGGCAATGTGTGGTGTAAATATTATGCAGAAAATTCGGAGTGTGGAAATTAGAAGGTGTGGAGTTAATAAAAGTATTACTCAGAAGGCTGAAGAGAGATTGTTGAGGTGGTTTGGTCATTTAAAGAGAATGGATCAAAGTAGAATGACATGGAGAGCATATAAATCTGTAGGGGAAGGAAGGTGGGGTAGGAGTCATCCTCAAAAAGGTTGGAGGGAGGGGGTAAAGGAGGTTTTGTGGGCGAGGGGCTTGGACTTCCAGCAAGCGTGCATGAGCGTGTTAGATAGGAATAAATGGAAACAAATGGTATTTGGGACCTGACGAGCTGTTGGAGTGTGAGCAGGGTAATATTTAGGGAAGGGATTCAGGGAATCTGGTTATTTTTATATAGCCAGACTTGAGTCCTGGAAATGGGAAGTACAATGCCTGCACTTTAAAGGAGGGGTTTGGGATATTGGCAGCTTGGAGGGATATGTTGTGTATCTTTATACGTATACGTGGAGTTTACCTGCAGAGAGTTCTGGGGGTCAACGTCCCGGTCTGTGAGCACCTCTGCGAAAACAGTGATTATGTGTGAGTGAGGTGAAAGTGTTGCATGATGATGAAAGTATTTTCTTTTTGGGGATTTTCTTTCTTCTTGGGTCACCCTGCCTCGGTGGAAGACGGCCGACTTGTTAAAAAAAAAAAAAAAAAAAAAATAACCTCTCTTCAATTTCTTACTGTTAATTTTATTACAGGGTACCCAATGTCACTTTCTTAATATTTACTGGTAACTTACAATTAATATTTTTTTTAAGTTAGTTTAGGATAGGTAAGGATAGATTTGATTTGGTTATATAATCCCATATAAATGTGCATATAATTAATCACAAACAGGCAAACTGAAGGCCAGCTACAAAATGTCTGGAAACAAGGTAGCCAAGATTAACCAGGGAACATTCAATCTTCACAAGTATCATTCATGGTGCAAGACTAAGCTGCACATGTGGAAAATTAATATTGTAATAAAAGGTTTCCAATTCCGAATCCCTTACCATGTTCATGAAGACCTTTCAAGATGCCACACAGGAGCCCACCACCACCAACTGATACAACAATGGCAGCTGGTTTCTCAAAAGACTGCTCCAGTATTTCTGTCACTAAAGTACTATGTCCTTCCCTAAAAGGTAGAATTTAAATAGAACCTTAGGTGTCTATATGAAAATAAAAAACATTCTTAGCATAAAAATTTACCCATTCTTACCCACATCTTTGTACATCTGAAGTTGGCACCTTATTTTTTATCTATTTTTACTCCAAACACCATCTGTTGTGTAGTTTTATGCACCCACATTTGACCTGAAGTGTTTATTTACAAGCAAACCTTAGTTGTTTTTGTAAATGTAAACTATAATGGTGACCTCAAAAGTCACTATCTGAAAAATATTTTGTATGAATAGTTTTGCAGTATCTAGGTAGAAGGTTGGTAGACAGCAACCACCCAGGGTGATTCTACTGTCCTGCCAAGTGAGTGTGAAATGAAAACCTGTATTGTTTTAGATAATGGTAGGATTGTTGGTGTCTATTTTGTCTCATAAACATGCAGGATAACAGATATATCTTGCTACTTCTACTTACTTAGGTCACACTACACATGCATGTACATGCATGTATATTTACATGCTCATCTAGGTTTTCTTCTATTTTCTTAATAGTTCTCGTTCCTCTTTATTTTCTCTTATCTCCATGGGGAAGTGGAAAAGAATTCTTTCTCTGTAAGCCATGTGTGTCGTAAGAGGTGACTAAAATACTGGGAGCAAGGGGCTAGTAACCCCTTCTCCTGTATAAATTACTAAATTTAAAAAGAAAAACTTTTGTTTTTCTTTTTAGGTCACCCTGCCACTGTGAGATACAGCTGATTCATTGAAAAAATAAAAAGTTTTGCAGCAGAGAGGCATAAAACCTAAAACAATTTCTTCATTAAAATTGGCACCTATACAGTCCAAGATCAATCTTCTAAGTAAGATACACCAGCTTTGAAAGTTTGATGCTGATAAGAAGAGGTATACTCTAGCACACAGAAACCAATATGCTTATGACTGAGTTTATGCTCATGTAGAAAATTCAGAATTTAAGCATACAACTGAAGACAGAAAGTGACTGACTCTTCAATAGGGTTGCTCCATTAGTTCAAGCTTTGTCAGGATATTAGTGACATAAAAGCATCTAGTGAAAAACTGTTTGCAGATTACAATGAAACTAAAAAAATGTGTTGAACAGTTTTCAGAAAGTACATAATGAACAATACACTAACTGCCAAGTAAACCCACAGTGCAGATGAGATAGGACTATTTTGGAAAGTTGTGTCATTATTTTTGTAGTGATAAGAACTCATCATCTAGAGTGAAGAAAACCAATGAGAGGCTGTGTGTTTTCACATGTACTAATACTGCTGGTACACAATAAAAACAACCATATTTAGTAGGGATGGGATGATACCAAAACTTTTGCCAATACTGATACTGATGCTCAATTTTAGGCCAATACAGATACTTTTCTTTATTTTTTATTTTGAAAATTACGATAACTATGTTAATTTTGTTTTTATTATTAACACACTGGCCGATTCCCGCCAAGGCAGGGTGGCCCGAAAAAAAGAAAAACTTTCACCATCATTCGCTCCATCACTGTCTTGCCAGAAGGGTGCTTTACACTACAGTTTTTAAACTGCAACATTAACACCCCTCCTTCAGAGTGCAGACACTGTACTTCCCATCTCCAGGACTCAAGTCTGGCCTGCCGGTTTCCCTGACTCCCTTCATAAATGTTACTTTGCTCACACTCCAACAGCACGTCAAGTATTAAAAACCATTTGTCTCCATTCACTCCTATCAAACATGCTCACTATGTTAAATATATAAGGAAATACCTATTGCTCTTTAGTTATTAAGTAACCCAGAGAGGTTAAGTATTAAGTAACCTGATATCTCTGAGATGCCAATGTCATTACTCATTACAGGCATCCCCATGAGGTTTACAAACTGAAAGAAAACAAAATTTCTGAATATGTCTACATATCTAGTAATCTGATGAAAACAATCCGAGATCAGTAACAAAAATAAATCTGAATAATTTTAAGTTATGTTAAAATGTTAATCATAAAACCAAAATATCCAACAGTCTCATGATACTGCTTATTTGAAGCTTTAAGAAATATTTTGAAAACAAAAAGATAAAAATTATAAAAACTTACCGACATATTTCCAGTAAACAGGTTAAAGTTTTTAAACTTTGAAGGAACACAGTGAATAATTGAAATGCAGATTATTCTTATATCAGAAAATAAAAATAAACAATGTCCTGTACATACATTACTATAATAGCTAAAATTAAAAATTCTTGAAATGAAGTTGCAGAACATTAACATCGCCCCATTTTTCAGGAGCTAAATCTGTTGCTGTAAGGACAGTAGATGGTGCCTCCAATTCTGAACAATCTTTCACTCTCTAGTGAAAAGGGAATGTAAACTCAGGTATTTACTGGTTAGGTTTACCAGCGATAGTAGAACTGCAGTATCATATTTTTTTTTCATCACTATAGTGCATTTCCTTCTTTAACCCTTTGAGGGTCAGTCACGTACAAGTACGTCATTGCAACCAGGATCGGTCACGTATCTGTACACCTAAATTCTAGTGCCTTTAAATCTGGTGGAAGAAAGCTGGCAGGCCTACATATAAAAGAATGGGTCTGTGTGGTCTGTGTGCGCAGTATAAAAAAAAATCCTGAAGCATGCAGTGCATAATGAGAAAAAAAAACTTTGACCGTGTTTTTGATTTAAAACATGACTTTCTAGTGTATTTTCGTATGGTATTTATGGTTGTATTCTCGTTTCCTTGGTCCCATTTGATAGAATGGAAGATATATTACAGAAATAGTGATGATTTTGATTGGTTTCACGATGACAAGTACCTTGAAACTGAGCTCAAAGTAGCAAAAATGATCGATTTTTGCCAATGTTCAAGAGTAAACAAATCACGCCATGTGTCCAATACATGTCAACTGGTGAGTCTAATATTCTTTCACAAGTGCGCTGACATCATTTATACTGTTTTTACAATGATGCAGTAGTATACATAACAGAAAACCTATTTTCTGTGAGAATAAAAATTTGAAATGGAAAGCAAAAGTAATGTAAGAAGGGCCTAGATATGTGACTAATGAACAGTTAAAATGTTATTTTAGTGCCATGAATGTCTGTCTTGTTTATTCTGGACCCTATTTCAAAATTGGCATCTTTTGAAATTTGTGTGAAACTGCCAAAATTGCCAAATTCTGACCACTTTATTGGGTAGTTGAAATCAGTAAATGGGCAGATTCTTGTACTCAATCAATAGAACAAATGGAGTTCTAGGGAATAGCTGATTTTAGTCAACTGCAACATTGGAATTGGCCGAAAATAAGGCTCAAAGTGGGTGAGATCGCCGATGCGTAAATATCATTGAGACCACTAACTTCCTGAGAGCATAATTCTGTAAGTTTTCCATCAAATTCATAATTTTGGTGTCATTATGATCAGAAAAAGATTCTCTTATCATTTCATAAGAATTTTTTTTTTTTTTTCGAAAAATTTTCAAACCTGAGAATGAGTTTGGGAGAGGGCTTTTCGACCTTCAAAGGGTTAAAAGACAATAATACCACATATTTATCTAGTATTTCTGTTTACGTTTGTGATAATAAAAATGCCAAATCGCTTGTTTTTGGATGCTGCATTTTGAGACTTAGAAAAAGATCCAAGGCAGATGTCTGTGACATGCTGTTGTTGAGAGTACTGGCAATAATTTCTTTATAACATTTATCAAAATCAAACTTGTCAAGTTCCTCAACCTTTCACATAATCTTGACTTTCTTCATCAGACTAGCTGCTGTTTCATTATAATAATGATACTCTGAAAGTCTCTTGTTCTCTCCAGGGTGGAATACTGCTGTATACTAAAGGCCCACTACAAGGTAGGGTGATTGCTGAGCTGTAAAACATGTAGAGAACTTTCACTGCCCTTACCCATCAAATCAAACATCTAAATTACACTTGAAGGCCCTTCAACTCTATTCCTTGCAACACAGACGAAAAAGGTACATCATTATCTATGCCTAGAAAATCCTGGAGGAACTGGTCCCAAATCTGCACACTCAAATCACCTTGCATGAATACAAGGGACTTGGAAGATGGTGAAGAAAAAAGCAAGAACACATGTACAGTGACAGAACTCCAAGTGTTAAAGGTTCTCAACCTTTCAATGCCCTCCCTTCATGCAAAGGAGGAATTACCAACAAACCTCTGGCTGTTGTCAAGAAGGAACTTGACAAGTAGTACTTCAAAACAGTTCCTGACCATCCATGCATGCTGGACTGTATGCAGTCAACAGTAACAGCCTGGGTGATCAGGGATTGATCCCCCAGGAGGCCTGGTTTGGGACAGCACCTTCAAGCATCCTTCAGGACTTAAGAAACCTGTTGTGTGGATGAAAGGTTTCGGAAATAAAGATACCTAACTGTTGCACATGTGGAGAAATTATCTCCTGTACTAAGGCATGGTTGATTGATAGGTAACTGCTATGTGGATACGAGCAGAGTTTTGGCTAGTGTATATAGATTAGTACAGTGGAACCTCGGTACTCGAACAGCTCCCTACTCGAACAATTTGGTATTTGAACATTTTGTTCAGTAAAAAAATTGCTCGGTAGTTGACCATTTGCTCGGCACTCAACCAAACAAACATGACCTGCTGGAACTTCGCTGTAAACTATTTCATGTTTCTTTGCATTTTTTGATGTGTTTTTTATATTATATGTATAAATAAGGGAGCAAGGGGCTAGTAACCCCTTCTCCTGTATAAATTACTAAACTTAAAAAGAGAAACTTTCGTTTTTCTTTTTGGGCCACCCTGCCTTTGTGGAATACGGCCGGTGCGTTGAAAGAAAGAAAGAATGTATAAACAAGTCACCATGGGGCCTACGAAGATTAGTGATAACAGTCAACCAAAAAGAAAACTGGCTGGGAAAAATTTGTTCAATACTTGAACAAATCAGCATTCAAACAGCCTCCTTGAACAAATTAAGTTCGAGTACTGAGGTTCCACTGTATTTTACAGTGCATGAAATGACTGCTTTGTAACCCTTAATATTTTATGATAATCTAAGTTACTGTGAACTATCAAAGCATGTTTAGCATGAATTTTCATGGAACTTGATAAATTTCACATGACAGAAACCATAAGCAAACAATCCACAATAAAATGCTACTTATAAGCTTTGTTAATAATTTAAAATAACATTTTGGTGTAAAAAAGTACCACATAAAATAAATAATAAATGTTATTTGAGAGAGAAGACAAAGAAAAAATATTAAATATAATGAGAATACTTCTTACCAAATATCTGGATGATCAAAAGGATGTACTAAACAGCATTTGTCTTTCTGAGCAAGTTCCTGAGCTTTTTCATGAGCATCATTCCAAACATGACCATGTACCTTTAAGAGAGTGTAAGTTTCAAATACACAAAAATCTATATGCTTGCATGCAGCTTACCCTTCCCCCCCTGGGGTTAGAATAGTTGGGGGTGTACATGAGAAGGGTCAGAGTGGTTAGGTGAGCAGGTATGGTGTAGGGGTGAGGATTGGGGGACTGCTGTTATGGGAGGCAAAGACCAAACAGCGAGGAGTTGGGGCAGGGGCTGGAAACTGGTTTTGGGAGGTGGAGAGGTGTAGGGGTGACTGGGTGAGTGAGTGTGTGGTTGTTGGTGTGGGCAATAACTGGGGTGGTGGGTGGCTACGTGACTAGGTGTGAGGGTTGTGAAAACATAGGTAAGGTGCAGGCTTGAGGCTGTGGGAGTAGGGTTGAGTGGGCTTTTAGCTGTGGTGGAGTGCATAATAAACTAGCTGCTCAGGCAGGACAAGTAAACTAATACTAAAAAAGATATCAAAATAAATCTAGGACACTTATTCCAATCATAGCATAGTTTATTCACGTTCCTATTCTTAAGATTCTTTTAGCTCAAAAGTCACTTCAACTACGACATATACATCTATATATAGAACATTAAATTCAAATACAAACCCTCTACTCAAACCTCTTGATAGCTACAACAAAACACACAAGCACAACACAAGGCACAATACTCTCATTGACAACCCTCGTGTCCGTCTTGCCCTATGCAAAAATGCAATTCACATAAAGGGCCCAAAGGTCTGGAATTCATTGCCCAAACCAGTAAAAGGTCCCCTGCCTGCCAGTCAATTTAGGGCTCTAATTAAAAAATCACCTCATCTCCCAAACTTAACCATACCAATACTATACATTAAATCATTCAACCAGTTTGAAATGACTCGAGAAATCCCAAAAATCTTATGACTACTTGATCAATCTAAAATATTAATATATGCCTAAAATTGTACTGTTGTAAATTGTACTAACTGTAATATTATTTATTTTTTGCCACCTCACTACTATAAATTTTATATTAATTACAAAATTATTGGCTACCTCACTTTTGTAATGATGTAAAATAATAAATAACTAAAATTTACCACACTATAACCTGTGTCTAGTTTTAAGTAGTCTGTAAGTATAATAGGATTTGTCTGCCCAAAATGCTCAGGCATGCTAGTGGCTTTCTTTGTACTTAATAATATTTTGCAATATGTAAATTGCACACTGTAAACTTTGCAAAGAATAAAAAAAAATTTAAGTTTAATTTTGAAACCAGCTATAGCATAAGTGAATTTTTTTTTTTTTTCAACAAGTCGGCCGTCTCCCACCGAGGCAGGGTGACCCAAAAAAAAGAAAGAAAATCCCCAAAAAGAAAATACTTTCATCATCATTCAACACTTTCACCACACTCACACATTATCACTGCTTTTGCAGAGGTGCTCAGAATACAACAGTTTAGAAGCATATATGTATAGAGATACACAACATATCCCTCCAAACTGCCAATATCCCAAACCCCTCCTTTAAAGTGCAGGCATTGTACTTCCCATTTCCAGGACTCAAGTCCGACTATATGAAAATAACCGGTTTCCCTGAATCCCTTCACTAAATATTACCCTGCTCACACTCCAACAGATCGTCAGGTCCCAAGTATCATTCGTCTCCATTCACTCCTATCTAACATGCTCACGCACGCTTGCTGGAAGTCCAAGCCCTCACCCACAAAACCTCCTTTACCCCCTCTTTCCAACCCTTTCGAGGACGACCCTTACCCCTCTTTCCTTTCCCTATAGATTTATATGCTTTCCATGTCATTCTACTTTGATCCATTCTCTCTAAATGACCAAACCACCTCAACAACCCCTCTTCTGCCCTCTGACTAATGCTTTTATTAACTCCACACCTTCTCCTAATTTCCACACTCCGAATTTTCTGCATAATATTTACACCACACATTGCCCTTAGACAGGACATCTCCACTGCCTCCAACCGTCTCCTCGCTGCTGCATTTACCACCCAAGCTTCACATCCATATAAGAGTGTTGGTACTACTATACTTTCATACATTCCCTTCTTTGCCTCCATAGATAACGTTTTTTGACTCCACATATACCTCAACGCACCACTCACCTTTTTTCCCTCATCAATTCTATGATTAACCTCATCCTTCATAAATCCATCCGCCGAATATATAATTATATAATATATAATAATATAATAATATATAATAATATATATAATTTAATTAAAAGTGATGAACTCCAAAGATAATAACCAACTTACAATCACATCTGCTTGCTCTTCTTTGAGCCGTGAAATCATTAAGTGTGGGGTAGACTCAGGGATGACAACTGTGGCTGGGACTCCCAACCTTCGAGAGGCATATGCAGCAGCCATCCCTGCGTTTCCTCCAGATGAGGTAACAACATGGTCATAACCTTTCTCAATATTCTGAAACAATTTTCATTTATTGGAATAACTAATAATGGCATTTAATATGTCAAATGTACTTGGGACTGCATATTTGGAACCTCAACTGTACAATATCTTACCCAAGAAAAATAATTATAGGCTTGTACAGTACTGTATTGGATTAGTCAAGAATGAAAATGTGTTGGCAGCTAAATGATTGCACTTCCACTCCATCACTACAAATATTAGGATAATTTAGTGTAGCTCCTAAATAAGTATGAAACCCCAGTGAGTGCAGCTCCATTTGACCCTTGAAAAAATCCAAGAGCACAGCCAAGATAAATATCTTTTAATTCTATCACATATACCTTTTCCTAACACCAGTATTCATTACAGTATGTCCTGCAACTTTTTCTACAATCATTAAATGAAGCTCACTGCTATAGTATGAATTTTATACATATTTTTATATTTCAAATATATATGGTATACCAAAATAATACGCCTTTGCAAATTCATTTTGAGTAACAATGTATATATAAACTCTACCTATTCTTGGTATTCTAACTATCCATTTTAAGATACTGAACATTACTAGATGAATAACACTTCTGAAAACAGAAGTACAGTGGACCCCCGCATAACGATTACCTCCGAATGCGACCAATTATGTAAGTGTATTTATGTAGGTGCGTTTGTACGTGTATGTTTGGGGGTCTGAAATGGACTAATCTACTTCACAATATTTCTTATGGGAACAAATTCGGTCAGTACTGGCACCTGAACATACTTCTGGAGTGAAAAAATATCGTTAACCGGGGGTCCACTGTACTGTACTGATGAAGTGTGTAAAATATACATAACTGTATACTGTCCATAAAGATTAACCCTTAAACGGTCCAAACATATATATACGTCCTCTCGCGTAGCGCCCCAAACGTATATAAATGTTTCATTTGTCATTCAACATTGGCACGATAGGCCTGAGTCACCTAGACATGAGAGAATGGGTGTGCACACTCAGTGTGCGCCATATGAAAAAAATTGGGGACGCCTGGGTACCACATGCTCTTTTTTCCTATAAAAAAAATTATTTTTTTTCCTCAAAATATTCGGGGCGCTGCACAGGTGAATGTATATATACATTTGGACCGTTTAAGGGTTAACTGAAAAACTTGTTTATTAAATCCTAAATTATACTAATGCATATTTTTACAAAAATCTTTATCCAAAATCTGTGCATTTGAATACAGGCAGGCCCCGCTTTGCAGCGCTTCACTCTACAGTATTTTGCTAATACAGCGGTTTTCAATCCATTCTTCATTTATTCAGACTTCCTAAAATACACGTAAAGGCATTCACCACTCACTATAAGCTATGGATGAAAATATTTTAAGGTAAGTAATGTGTACTGTATATGCATTTTTTAGGCCTAGCTATATTGCTCATTTAATTTATGACAGTGTAAGCATGTTATCAGGCTTTTATATGCATTTGACAAAGAAAAAAGGCAGTAGCCTGGGACCTAACCTGCTGTATAAGTGGGGCCCTCTTGAATAGTAATGTAAGAAAACATTATAAGTCATACATATGCATTAGTGGCATGTGCTTAATTAAATTCAATAATACAGAAATGTATCTCACTTTTCTAATAAAATGCCCAATTCCTCGAATCTTAAACGATCCTGAAGGCTGAGCATTATCAAGCTTCAGGAGAACTTGCCGACCACAGAGCTGTGATAAACTTGTACTTGGTATGAGTGGAGATACAACATGCAGAGGAAGTGAAGACCTTTCTCCTGTGCTACCAGTATCCATCTTGCTCAGTGACAGTGCTATCTGCTGGTACATTGTAAGTACTGTATGTACTATACACTAGTATGAAATCATAATTAAAAAACTTAGAAGTCAAATGAAATTTAGTGATATGCATATGCAGAATTGTTTTCATGTCAGGTATTACAAAAAAAAAAAAAAAAAAAAAAAAAAGTACAGGACTTTGTTTAAGCTTGGAAAATTATTATTATGGTAATGACAGACAAATGCTCCTTAGTGGATTTCTGCCATTACTTAAAATCTGAATTCCTGTATACAATATTAAGTTGCTTTTACAACTGAGATATGTATTATTTTGTGATAGTATCGTTAACCCACTCAGTTCACAAAGACGTCCGGAGTTCGAATCCCTGGTACGGCTGGAAAACATTAGGGAAGTGTTTCCATAAGACACCCGCTGTCCATGTTCACCCATCAGTATAAAATGGGTACCTGGGTGTTAGTTGACTGGTGTGGGTTGCATCCTGGGACAAAACTGACCTATTTTCCCTGAAATACTCAGCATAACAAGCGGCTTTCTATATTTATCTATTTATTTATTTTATGTCTTTGCAAACAGTACATTGAGATTTTGTATTTACAATAGTGGGTTGCAATGCAGAGCGCCTCTATTATGCCTAGGCATTATGGGCCAACTTAACATTATTGGCTTACAGACTACTTAACCCTTAAACTGTCCAAACGTAGATCTACATTTGTGAGCGTAGTGCTCTGACCTTAATTTTCTCCATAAGAAACAATGTAAAAAAAAACGTAGATCTATGTTCGGAGCGCTATGCGTGCAAACGTAGATCTACATTTGGACAGTTTAAGGGTAACACTAAGGATTATATGACAGTTGTACAGTAGGATAGTAATTATTTCAGTTGTACAGTAGGTTATTAATTATAAATGAATCAAAATTTTGTACAAGACAAAAGATATATTCATATATTCGAAAATGCTTTTTGTGAAAAACAATGATTCAATTATATTCCTGTCAACAATGGATAAAAGGTTCAAAGTGATTGTTGAAGTTATGATGTGGGAGTATTATCATAAGCGAGTATGTGTGTACTGAGTATTTAGCGTTTAGTCTAGGGTGATTAAGTGGTGATATAGTAGTATGTCATTGATGTCAGCTATGGTCTGCATACCTTGTACATGTACTTGTAGTAAATAAAAATATTATTAAATGTACTTTTAGTATTAATTTTTTCACGAGGAAGAACCCATAGGGTCATACAATATTTGGAGGAATGGGAGGCACTCAGGTTGAAGCCAAGGAAGGAGAGGATTGGTCTAATTCACTGGATCAAGAGCCCCTCATTGTATTTGGGAACCTCCTTTGAGGGATAGAAAACATCAAATAAATAACATAAGAGAGTGGTATTATTAAGGACGCACGACAATGAAATAATAGCCAAATCTGGGCAGAAAGAACGGAAACGTTCACTGCTGAAAATCCAGAAAAAACTCCTACTCTACAGGTCAGGTATAAGGTAGTTATCTACCTGTAGATAGATAAGATACCTGGGTCAGTAAATAGTTTTCTCTAAAACCTGCACAAAATTCACCAGGGAACTTATTATTAGTCAAAAAGCGTTAAACCCACTAGGGTCATACAGTCCAAGGAAGTTATTATAAACAAGAAATATGCGCTAAACCCACTAGGATCATACAGTCCAAGGAAATTATTATAAACAAGAAATATGCGCTAAACCCACTTGGGTCATACAGTCCAAGGAAGTTATTATAAACAAGAAATATGCGCTAAACCCACTTGGGTCATACATCTCTACAGGAACTTGTAGAAAACTACACTAAATTGGCTGCATGGACTACAATCTAAAAAAATGTTATTGTTATAGTTACTCTTAAGGTTGGCATTATTATTATAATAAAAAAGAAGCGCTAAACCGCAAGGGCTATACAGCAGGGGCTTTCTATAATGTCTGCCAAAAATATCAACAATTCCTACATTAATTACGTAACTATAAATATTATTATCACAACTAGTGTTTGCTGCCCTCACAATATGTCCAGTCATCACATAACAGCAAAATCTCTTTAAAAACGACTGGAGGATTTTCCTACTAATGCCCAGATACCCACACAGATACCCACACAGCCCAGGACTGGCACTCAGGTTCAACCATTCAGATACTAGTATCTCTGACCCAGGAAATTAGTGATTATCACTAATCATTAATTTCACTGGTCAAGACCAGCATAGTTTACACTTTCATATCAAATCAAATCAAAAGTTTATTCTCTGTAAAGATTACGATGTGTGGTTTACATATAAAATACTAATTACAAAGAGGACCACTATCATGCCTAGCATGACTAGGCATTTCGGGCTTTAACAGATTATTAAGTTTATTCAGGAATACACAAATACAGTTACATAGATTATTATACATAGCAGGATTATGTATAGAGTACCTAGGATATCTCCTCAAAAATCAAAGTGACTTATTTCCATTGGGGTCCTTGTGATATTTTATTTATATTTAAAAGTTAAAAACAAGTAAGTGTCTTAACTATGTTACAGCATAAGTTACTATGTATGATATTTGTATATATGTGTACCTGTACCTAAATAAATTTACTTACTTCCCCCCACACCCGTGAAAGGGAAAGAGAACATAAGAAATTGGTTAATGATGCTTATAGCAGGGATAAAGTGAGACAAAGACACTCCATTGGGCCAGGACAGAAGTTCCGAGGTCAGGTGGACCACAGGTGGACTGGTGCTCGTGGTTTCGGTTTGGTTGACTGCAAACACTGAGGGGACGAGGGATCGCTCTCCGGCACGGACGAAACGTTGAGCATATTTCTTTGTACCTGCTGCCCCTGTCACCTAGCAGTAAGTAGGTACCCGGGTGTTAGCCGACTGATGTGTATCGTACCCTGTGGGAGAAGATTAAGGAGCACCAATGGAAAGAAGACCGAATCCCCGGTGACACACGGGCTTCGTTGGGTTATCCTGTGGTTACTATGGTTAATAATTCAAACAAAATCTTATCTCTTATCTTATCACTCTCGAGTCTGCTCTCCAACGCCGGCGCTTCAAGTCCAAAAACACTTTCTTTTATCCTGCAACACTATCATGTACTCTAACATATCTGGATACATTGTTGCAAAGCTTCAATCTAATAAATGCTGCCACCTACTGTCCTGTTTTCAACATCAATGAGTGTGTGGACGATGTTTTATCATCAATAAAAATGTGAAGGATTTTTCAACAACAAAAGCGAGCAGAATGTTTTTTTTTTCAACATCACTGGGAGTGTTATGTAGGACGTTCCAACATCAATAAAATGTAAAGTTTCAACATAATTATAAGGGAAATAAGTCACTCTGTCTGACTTTTTTGGGTTATCCTAGGTTCTCTACACATATGCTGGTATGTATGATAATTCTATGTAACTGTATTTGTGTATACCTGAATAAACTTACTTACTTGCTACCTACTTGTCTGGAGTCTACCTGGAGGGTATCCCGGGGATCAACACCCCCGCGGCCCGGTCCATGACCAGGCCTTCGTGTTGATCAGGGCCTGATCAATGACACTTACTGTTGGCCGAATGTAGCCCAACGTACGAACCACAGCCCGGCTGATCCGGCACTGACTTTAGGTATCTGTCCAGCTCCCACTTGAAGACAATCAGGGGTCTATTGGTAATGTCCCGTATGGCTGGTGGGAGGCTGTTGAACACTGTTGGGCCCCGGACACTTATTGTGTTTTCTCTTAGTGTACTAATGGCGCCCCTACGTTTCACTTGGGGTATGTTGCATCGTCTGCCAAGTCTTTTGCTTTCGTAGGGAGTGATTTCTGTGTGCAGATTAGGTACCAGTCCCTCTAGGGTTTTTCAGTTGTAAATTATGATGTATCTCTCGCCTGCGCTCCAGTGAGTACAAGTCAAGTGCTTCCAAGCGTTCCCAGTAGTTAAGGTGTTTAATGGAACTTATATGTGCAGTAAAGCCTCTCTGCACATTCTCTAGATCTTCACTTTCACCTGCCTTGAATGGGGATGTTAATGTACAGCAGTATTCCAGCCTAGAGAGAACAAGTGATTTAAAAAGGATCATCATTGGCTTAGCATCTCTTGTCTTGAATGTTTTCATTATCCATCCTATCAGTTTCCTGGCAGATGTGATAGTGGCATTGTTGTGGTCCTTGAATGTGAGGTCTTCGGACATTACCACTCCCAGGTCCTTCACATTATTTTTCCGCTCTATTGTGTAATTAGAGTTTGTAGTGTTCTCTGTCCTAGTTATTATTTCCTCCAGTTTTCCATAATGGAGTAGCTGGAATTTGTCTTCATTGAACATCATATTGTTCTCCGTTGCCCATTGGAAAACTTGGTTGCAGGATGAGTTTTTCAACATCACTGAGTGTGTATGTAGGACATTCCAACGTCAGTGAAATGTGAAGGATATTTCAACATCAATGAAAACGTGAAAGAAATTTCAACATCAATGAAAAAGCTGCAGGACGTTTCAACATCAATAAAAGACTGCAGGATGTTTCAACATCAATAGAGGTATGTTGGGAGTGAGGGAGGGTAGAATCAATGGTGGTGTGAGGCAGGAACAGTAGTCAGCAGCAGCGCAGGCGTCCTCCAGCTTCTCCATCACTGCCGACTTCCACACAGCTGAGTCAAGATGGCCACCACCTGGGCTGTCTTCATCTTCTTGGGTAAGAAATGCTTATAAAAATAAAGCCCTACAAGCAAAAATGACCTGAATTTAGCCATGAGTGTGGGAGAGAACACTGTTATGGCGGTGTGAATGCTGGTGCTGGTCGTTCCAGGGTCTACCTGTGCCAAGAAAGACGTTGATATTGGTGCGTTGTTCAGGGTGAATTTATAGTATGTCCGCTCAAAGGAATGTACCAGTGATGATTATTGGACTGGCTTTGTGAAGTGGGTTTTTTCTTCTGATTACAGATGTGGCTTATTTACAAGACGGGAATAGATGCGACTGCAGGAAGGTTAAAAGAAAAAAAGTGAGCAAAATAAGTCGAGTTAGGATCCATACGGCCACACGAAGGTCCATGCTCACCCAAGCTGTGTGCGCGCACACCAAGCTGTGTACACCAAGCTGTGTGCACACAAAACTGTGTACACACCAAGCTATGTACACACCAAGCTGTGTACACACCAAGCTGTGTGCACACAAAACTGTGTACACACCAAGCTGTGTACACACCAAGCTGTGTACACACCAAGTTATGTACACACTAAGCTGTGTACACGCCAAGCTGTGTACACACCAAGCTGTGTACACACTAAGCTGTGCACACGCCAAGCTGTGTATACACCAAGCTGTGTACACGCCAAGCTGTGCATACACCAAGCTGTGTACACACCAAGCTGTGTACACACCAAGCTGTGTACACACCAAGCTGTGTACACACCAAGCTGTGTACACACCAAGCTATGTACACACTAAGCTGTGTACACGCCAAGCTGTGTATACACCAAGCTGTACACACCAAGCTGTGTACACACCAAGTTGTGTGCACACCAAGCTGTGTACACCAAGCTGTGTGCACACCAATCTGTGTACACACCAAGCTGTGTACACACCAAGCTGTGTACACACCAAGCTGTGTGCACACCAAGCTGTGTACACACCAAGTATTGTACTCACCAAGCTGTGTACTCACCAAGCTGTGTACTCACCAAGCTGTGTACTCACCAAGCTGTGTACGCATACCAAGCTGTGTACTCACCAAGCTGTGTACTCACCAAGCTGTGTACTCACCAAACTGTGTACTCACCAAGCTGTGTACTCACCAAGCTGTGTACTCACCAAACTGTGTACTCACCAAGCTGTGTACTCACCAAGCTGTGTACGCATACCAAGCTGTGTGCACACCAAGTTGTTTGCACACTAAACCTCACGTCAAGCAATGTGCACACCAAACTGTGCACACCAATCTGTGTGCACCAGTCTGATGTGCACACCAATCTGTGTGCACAAATCTGTGCAACCACTAGGCTGTG